GTTTCAGCTTCCCATTATTCGGTGTTATTCTGTTGACGATCCTTAGCTAAGCCGGCAGTTTTCGTCGATTTTGAAAAGAATTTTTACAAATGATTACGGGTTTCGAACCCCCAACTCGTCGCCCCACTCTTGGTGGTCACATGGTCATCTGTAATATCGCCTCTCAATATTAAAATTAACTCTTTCATAATTATGAACGATTCACCATTTTTCATTAGCTGTTTTCTTTTCCAGGAAAGAGATCGAACATTGAAACTACGTCTGTAATTATTGCAAGATTAACACATTAATAATTTCGATCGATTTATATTATACCGAGTTATTTGTAAAACAATGTCAAGTCACAAGCCGTCAAATTGTCATAGCACTTGCGCAAACGCATCCATTATTACGCGGAGAAAGCTACGAGGAAGCAGTTTCATGCAAGTAGTCGCTTTCACTGTAGTAGTTAAAAATGCATTTATCCTCATTGTTGCTGTCGTAATACGCTGGTATTTAAAAAAAGACGTCTGATGTCATGCCATCAAACTCCTGTATACATCATTCCCTCTTTATCGAATCAAAGGGAAATTTGAGCTGTATTTTAAGAAAATGTGGAAATAAAACCGTTATCTTTTCATACTATTTGCAAAGTTGACGTGCGGCACCGAAAAAAGGGAGAGTAAGCTAATGAGACTGGGTCTTGCGATCAACAATTGTTAGATTAATTAGTCCATACTTAATTATTAGTGAACCTTGTTTCATTGAAAAAAGATGCTCTCAATTCAGATAATGTCGGCATCACATCGTGAACAAGCGTTCTAATTTTTATTTCTTTTTAGATTTACTCGTCTAATTAGAAATCAATACCAGATTTTTGCGGTCCGGAATCCTATCCGGCCTATACAACCATCTGGTCTATACAACCATCAGGCCTATACAACCATCCGGTCTATACAACCATCCGGTCTATACAACCATCCGGTCTATACAACCATCCGGTCTATACAACCATCCGTGATCGCCTTGTACCAAACAAAATTCTCAGGTTTCATCCCGATGAACCGAAGACAGAATACGTGAGTGCCCCTTACTTGTTCTGCACCAGAAACGGCGACGGCAGAGATAGACACGCGCCGTGGAACGAACAAAACGTCGTTCTTATCTGACGGGAATCAGAGCGCAAGCTTCTTCAGGTTAGGTATCATACTGAGCGCTTGAGAAAGGATATGTATGGTGGAAGCTATGTAAGACTTATTATTCTATGCTGTGGAGCTAGCAACGTGCGCTATTGGTTATAATTTCTAAATGTTTACGTGAGCGCGATAAAAATTTTTAACTTCATTGAGAATTGATGGAAAGGTAATTGGTGCACAATTACCCCATAATTTTAATACTTTAATTTATACTCCGTTCTCTTGTAAATTAGAACATTACCCTCTTTACGTGCGGAGCATCAACGTATAAAACAAAACGAAGATGATAGATGACCGACTGCCGACTCTGTCAAGGTATATTTTGTAGTATAGACAGGTAAAATGTTGGAGGGTTCGCTTGTGCATACCTGCGAGTGGTCGAATGATGGAGCAATGGCCACGTTGCGGTCACCTCAAAGTGAGAGGTTTTGGTGTCGTGGCCAGTGAGTGCGAACGCCGCGGTAAGTCTGCACGCTGTAGAAAGTCCACTACTAAATGTTACTTTGGTTAAGGAGAGAGAGGGAGGGAGAGGCTAGAGCCTCCAGTCTTGTCATTCCTACAAATGACTGTCCTGATATCAATGATTACCTTTCGATTACTATGAATTCCTATTTGTTCCAAATATGCTCTCTATACAACAGTAAGTAGGCTTGGACTTCAGTTTAAATAGGCTGAAAAAAATTGGTGCCCTCATCTTAGATGCTTCAAAAATAAAAAAAAGGGTTCGTTAAGTTTATTGTATTATTTATTGATTTTCAATTCGAAACTTAATGTTTGCAGTCTACCTCTCATTTAAAATAACGACTAAAATTAGCTGCACTTTGAAAAATTCATAAAAAGAGTTCATGAATTAAATCTTTACTCGTTAAATATCGATCAAGTGAGTAACAATGACACATGACGCTAGAAGCGAGCGTTAAGTGAGTAGCGATATACCCGTCGTCGAAAAGACCTCACAAATGCAGGTGTGGAAAGCATTGCTCACTAGGTTTCATGAGCCAGGCATGTCCTTCCTGTAGACAACAGGCATGTGCTTCAGAGCTCACCTAATCTACTCGTTCTAGTTTTCAAGGGAGTGTCGCAACTGAAGCCACCCGAGCTCTCGTCACTTCCACTGAATCTGGCTGGCTTACTCATTTCTTCGCTTCACGAGAAATACTTAAATACTTTCTTATTAACCACAGCATGCGGAATTCGACGCATGCGTAATGCGCTGGCTGTGAATGTTCTTAATGCTCGTCAGCTATCACGTACTTTTTTACGAATACGAAGCTAGGTTTTGATTGCTATGCAGACGCGTGCTGAGGCGTGGCAGTCGCGCAAGTTGATGGTTGTAATCTCAGTCGTATTCACTGTCACCATCTTCACTTCTTACAATAATAATTTACATATGTCAAAAGATGGATTCCGTGTCATTAATCATTACTCAGAGAAATTAGCCGGGAATTTTCGTACTCTTTCCGTTAATTTTGAATGAATCGCTTTTGCATGTAGTTTTTAGATTTAGACATTCATTGGATGTACAGAGTGAAGTAATAATTATAAATAATATTTTATCCCTTATTATGATCTAAAATTAAAGAAATTTACTTTCTGCTAGTGAAAATTTTACACTCATAACATTAAAATATTAAATCAAGATTGCGTGCCTTTTTACGGCCTAGATAAAATTAGAAAATTTTGATTGTTGCCATACTGTTGATGTTTGAATCCAAATGACTGCCTGTCATGTGTGTCGTAAATTTTGATCATGTCATTTCAAATGTCAAAATATAGTCATATCGATTCGTATTAGTGATCTGTTTCATGTTTTTTTATATTAAACTTGTTTCTTGACTTAGATAGTTAACCGAATGCCCGAAATGACATGAACACTATGTTAAAAATTTTTATTTATAAATCAGAGATTTCTGTCATGATTTGGTATTAGCTTTCATAATTTAATTTCATGAATGAATGAAATTTTCAGCCTCATTTTATGAATGAAATTTTCAACCTATATACAACTCCGTAATTTAGAATTTATTACTAGTACATACTACATACCATGGACCGAATGCAGCAATTTCTTCTGCTAGGGAACGCTGTTTTCATGATTTTTTGAGTTTTTAAAATTGTCTCATAGACTCCGTTGGACTACATTGTGGATTTTGCCCCGTTTTGGGATCGTTTAGTCATTGAATGAGTGAACAATTGACCTGGAACGTTTCAATAACTATTATTTATTTATATTTCAATCAAAGTGTTACAATTTTTTGTAATAAACTAATTTAATACAACACGGAAAATACTGCCTTCGGAAAACAGGATTTTTATTATTATTGTCTATGCTACAACACGTTTTTTCTCTTAGCGTAGAAAACTCAAACAGAAAATATTTCTTCGAGAAGAGACTAACTTCAAACCTGTGTACATTGAAAATACAATTACAGATTGGTGTAAAAACTATACAATTTTCATTAATTTTGATTTATTTTATAACATACATAACATAATAAGTTGCGCGTTGAAATTATTCATAGATTCTTGAAAAGATTCCTTTTGAATCAAGTCACGAAAAATTCAAGAATCTGCAACAGGCCATGGGCCTATTTCTTCAGTGCCGAAACTTCTATTCTGTTCTAATAAGCCAGGAACCAAAAATAGAGTAAACCAACCACTAAAATGTGACGAACCGTTTATTTCAGTAGTTTTATTGGCACGAAAACTAACGGTTGTACGAACGGTTTTTCTTGAGATAAACGTTAACTGAGATATTGCACCAGAGGATCGAACATTCGTACATGAAATGAATTGCTTATAAATGGTACTGTAGCTTTATCAAAAATCGCCAAATCATTCTTAGAAGGAGGTAAGTAAATAACCAAATTGGGACTGCTCTTCATCGGGACTTTTTACAATGTTAAATAATGATTGCAATTAAACTATAAAATACGTATGAGAATGCTTTGACAACTGCATCAAGAGGACAATAGTTTTCGTAATTTAGATACGACTATTTTATGGCTTAATATAATCCTCTTCATACGAAAGCGGTTTGTATAAAACGTATGAATTTCTTATTATTCACTTATTTGAATTATTGACTTATTGAATAATTTTTCTCTTCTCGTCTGAAGTATTATGACTCACTATTCACACAAAAATATAGTTGTGATCTATCGCTAGATGGATCTTTAAAGTTTTTGTATCCATTTTATACCACAGAATAATAAGAATAATTTTCATTGGCTATCAGCCTCAAGACTAAATTCCAGTCTTAATGATTGCGAAAACGTTGACGATATAAATTTTACGGATCCATGCCTAAATTATTCTTTCCTGCAAAATGAATTTTCCCATAATTAGAAATAACTCGTCGAACTGTGGGGCGATAGCAACGCACAGCAAGTAGCTATCCATAGACTGCTGCCACTGCATCGCCAAGTTATGATCCCTTGACCTAATGACCTTATGATGAGTTCGGGACTTCCTAGTCCCCGGTCATGCTGATGCGCCGCCTTCGTCGTCCTCCGTCTCCGAGTCGTCCTCGTTTGCCGAATCTGTTAAACGGGAATAGAAGTCGAAGAATGGGGAACGAATGTGCGGACTAATAAAATTCTAATGCCTTTAATGTATGCTCTTACCTGTAGCTGTCACTTCCATCTCAAAATTTTATTGTTAAATAATCAGCGCTGTTTAATCCAGGAACTAAAATTATCTAAATTCGTTTATAGTTCTTTCGATTTGTCGAATATATATAGGTATTTAACCAAATAACTTAAATTTGCTTAACAAAAACACACTTCTGCTTATGTATCCTATTTTTTTTTAACTTTTGTGCAGGAGGAAACGGTTTTCGCTATGGTTGCTAGCGGTCTTGGTCGTTCTCCTTGCTTTGGCAACGTCACGGTTGTCCACATATGCCGTAGTGACGTCAACCTTAGCAACTACGGCAACGACGACGATGACTGGTTTTACAAAAGTGATCAATACGATGTACCAGTTCGGCTTGACAACATCGAATTAGAAAAATATTTAAAAAATCAGGGGTGCGTTATTCTGCGAAGTGCTCACGAATCGGATGAGATAAATCCGCTTAACGGTCATGGGTTTCCAGACTATTCGAAACTGAAAAGAAGGCATTGTTCAAATACCACAATAAAGAACAAACACATGTCGAAAATAGAGTGTGAAGTAAACGATGAAAACACTAACGAGAAGAGTAACAGGAATTCTGATGATAAATTTGTGCAGAGTAAAAGATCTATAGCAACAGGCTCGGATTGGAAAAACAATGAAGACATCGTGACTGAGCAGATCGCCAAAATTATCTTACGCAGACGAGAATCAATCCGCATCCATAGAAATAACGTGACAGTCAACAAAGGAGCCATAGCTGACCAAAATGTTGGTGTTTCGGGAGAAGTATTGATGGTTACACCTGGCAATTCATCATATGCAATTCCAGAAAAGGCGGAAGAAGCGATCTCAAGGCACTCACCCACAGTTGTGTATATTGGGACTGTGGAAGAACTGGGCTCCCCGCTTAAATCAGTTGACGTTGTGGAGATGATCGAAGCCATTGAGTCAGGACCGAGCAGCCTGACATTGTCGTATTACGAACCCCAATCCAGCGAAAAAACAGATCAGTTATCTGAACTCATGTCCGAAGGTGTATCGAAAGCTCGGATCAATTCTCTGCAGCACGAAGAGAAACCTTTAACATCACCGGCCCTCTTGTTACAATGGAGAGTTCGGCCGCCTGACGAGGAGCTTCGTAGCGCGGAAAATGCTTCTCCTGTAACGCCCTCTTCATCAATGTTCTCCAGCGCTTACACCGTCACTGAACTGGGTAGTGACAACAATTCTGATCGCTCGCCGCCATCCGAGTACTCGCAATCGACGATGTCATCGAGGCGCATTTCGGAAGCGGATGACGCTGCCAGAAGAGAGGACGAGAGAAATTTTAGATTCCACGAGTACCTACAACTATTCAGACAATTAAATTCATTCAATCAAGCTCTTGGTATGAGAGAGGCGGAAGGATTATCTCCTGAGGATTCAATGAATGGCTTAGACATAAATAATTTTAGCCGTCAAGGAAGTAACCGCAGCGTGGTATTTGACTATGTTCCTTCAAAAGATCAACGAGAACGTGAGGAAGAAGAGCTGTGGGTGGCTAACGAGGCAACATACTCCTCTAACATCACTTCTTCAGTCACGTCACCCACTTATCAGCCGGTGATTTTAGGTGCGCCAGCTGTAAATCTAATCATAAACGAGAGCCTTTGTGGTTCAATAGAGGACAAGAACGGGTCAACGTTGAGCAGCCGCTCTAGTACCATGTTGGGATCATCAGTAAACATGACATCTACCGCAACACAAACCATTTACTCGTGCCTTCTGCCGCCTAGTAATTTTTATTCCGTGCAGAAGCGCTGCGACAGGCGCAAGAATGTGAGCCAGACTGCTGGTGCCGATGCCTGCGCTGCGTCAGTTGTCGAGAGTGGGTCTACGTGTGAGGACGTTGATGCACACGAGCAAATGGCTGCACTTATTTGCCCAGTTGGCGGAGTTGAAAGAAGACATTTCTCAGCAAGACAACAATACTCGGAAAACGAGACCAAAAAGGATGCGAATTTTGAAAATGAACGTAATTTGACTTGTGTTAAAACAAAATCTGACTCATTGATTTCAGATAAAAACAAAACATCGATTTGTTCTGTAACATCTGCTGCAACTCATCAGCCTACCAAAAGATTTTCGTTTCTCATTCGCAGTAACAGCATCGAGCAGAGAGAAATTGTGAACCTTAATACGTCCGTGAGTGCCAGCGATAGAGCCATACTCGCTCGACTGGCCGAACTCAAGGTGAACGAATTCAAGGAAACCCCGTATGAAAAAAAGGTATCCAGTTCACTGCACCCTCCTTGTCTCAGATGCCACGAGCCAGTGTACCCACAAGAAAGGCTACAGCCATCGAAGGAGATGCTCTTCCACGTATCCTGTTTTCGGTGCTGCCAGTGTGGTGTAAAGCTCAACCTTAAAACTTTCTACAGAAATCCTGTGACCTTGAAAGACTACCGTATTTTTTGTAAAAGTCACGTGCCAACTTTGGACCCTGGCAAAGTTGCTCAAGAGAAGAAGGCTCAATCTGCTCCAACATCTGCAACTTCTGCTTCGTGTTGCTCGTCTGCAGCTACCGTCGCCAGCAACGGCTCCGCTTATCCTGCCACGGTGAGAGTAGTTATATAAAATATCTTTATCATTAGTCTAATTAAACGGAAAAATTCAAAGTTTACAAAGAATTCTAAAGCAAATAAACGCCAAATAAAATAATATCTATCGCAGATGATTTTGAGCTGGAAAATATTCCAGAATGTTTAAGGTGAGTTGACATTTAATTTCGTGCTATCAGCTTTAACTATTTCTTCTGCATGAGCTCCTTTGGCTTGTCTATGCCAGCACAGCGGTTCCCAGTTTGTGCCACATTGTTACTCGATCTCATAAATTACTCAAGCGGTTGCAATAGGTGTGCAATCCATTTAAAATATGGTGTCGAAATTGATATATTCGGCGTAACTGAAACACTGGCGATAACTTCTGTCAAATATTGTGAGTTAAGAATGTAGCGCCTTTAATGGACAACATGTCTACTGTCAAGAAAGTCTGTGGCATGCCTGGATCAGGATAAGGAATTATTGGCTTTATGTTGTGAGCGGTACGTTTAACATAGTTTAAAACATTTAGAGGGTAGTCATCTTTATCTTGTTCACTGCAATTTTGAGAAGCCCTTCATGCAGAAATTCGTTCTTGAGAAGAATAACATAAACTTAACATCATAGCTCTCTTGACGACAGCTTTTCTTGACACCACAAGGCTCTACTGCTTTCTAAGACTGAATTAACATAATCCCCGAGCTCGAGTACCGTAAGGTTTTGAATAATATTGAATAGCTACAGCTATTCAATGGTGAGCTCAAATGAATTAACAAAAGAAACAGCTTATATACATCGAAAAAAAATCATGACACATGGATAACGAATTTCAATTTGCAAAAAAAACGTGTGATGTACTGTGGAACCCAGCCCTTACTACCAAACCGATTTACGAACCTTCAGATCGGAAAAAATGTGCTCCACTTATGTGCAGCCGTGTTTCAGTGTATGACCTCAGGCAATGCTAAAAAACAGTGGATCGTCCTAAAAAGTGTCGAGTTATATCGATGATAAATTGGTCATCATGAAAGACCGATTTATCATTGACGCGAGTTTTTTACTTCGACTTGGCCGAGGAGAACAGCCGAAATAGAAGTACGATTTTCACTATATTGGGTCAGAAAGATGCCTTATTTAATTAACACCTAAAACTAAAACGTAAAAAAAGTTACTTCTGGAAGACCCGCTACGGATCACAGTTTTTTCACTAGTTTTAATGGAAGAAATAGGATCGCTTACGAACGAACCGTTCTACAAAGCAAGTTTCTGCACGAATAATGTCGTAAGGCGGAGTTTCACAGGAACAAATTTGTCTATGATAATTTCCTGCCCGAATTTTGGCATTTTTATTATTTAGCAATGAAGTTCGTAGTTTAAAAAAAGAACGGCTGGCCATTTAACTTTAATAATTTTAAATATAGACATCTCATTTATTTTTGGATTTCTTATTCGATGGTCCGTGCAGTTAAATTACAATAATAGCACCATATCATACATTGTTGTCTTTTCTGCAATATATTGCAGACAAAATGTTATCAGTTCCATGGATTAATTCACAGAATGATGTCTTCTTACATCGGTTGTAGCTCCCAACAATGACTCATGAGTCACCACCGTATTCTATGTCGCCAACCTCCGAAATAAACGAGAATCTTGTTATGAGGAGAGTGAATATAAACGAGAATCTTAATTAAAAAAATGTCTTAATTTCCTATTATTTACAGTTTTTCAATTAGTTTTTATTAAAGGCGGGCGAGTTGAGTGCAGCGACAAGACGTAACTGGCTCTTGCGAAATTGATGTTTACACGCACTTCGCTCGAAGCATTAGCCCCACGCAATAATGCGCATAACTCGTCCTACATTGGCGCAGGATTCAGATAATTAATGCAATGTGACAACTCGTCGAAAATCTGATGTCATATTCCTCATAATAGTAAAGAAAATCGTAGAACATCTGTCTATCACCTTAATACCTTAGCGAATCCGGGGAAATCTCCAGTAAACGTTTAAAAATCACCAATATTCACCGTGAATTACGTTTAGCCCAAAACAAATCTTCATTGAATTCGATCTATGCCACATCAAGCAATACGAATAAGGTTTAGTCAGCTAAATTTGTATTAAGTCATTAACGTCTATACTGATCGAGCATATAGACTAAGCATATGTAATACTTACAATCATCGGATCTTTGATTGAGAGCACAGATCCATGGAAGTACGAATAACTTTAGTAATAATAGAATATATTCACTGGATAGGCGTCAATCTCAGCCACGCATGAAGCTCAGGATTAAATGGCGTCATTACTAGAGGGAAGTTCGCGTGTTCTGCGGCAGCGCTTCTTGTCACTCTCCCGTGCGCGTGACAAGGAAGTGTAAGCCCAGACTATGATAACGTGAAAGTAACATCATATTGCATTGCATGCAAGTTAGCTATTTCCTTTTTAATATTTTCATCTAAATGCACGCTTTTATATTGTACACAACACAGCATACATTTTAGTACAGTGAATCATTGCTTCATATACAAGTAATCTATTGCACATAATTACCGTATGCTGCACTGACTTGAAAATGCGCAGCTAAATAATATTACACTGCCTACAAACACATTAATACTTTATGCATGCAAAACCTACAATTACACTCGGGTCTTAAAGAGCATCGCCGACAAGTAAATTAGAACTTAAAATTGATCCTTCTAAAATTATTCCATAATTTTAGTTTGAAAATAATAATTTAGAAATAATTTCACAATTTTATCTAGCTCAACCTACGATTCCTTCCTATACATGTACACTCTGAACTTGTATTGTAATAACTACTTATAATACACTTCAACAATATTAGGCCCATATAGCCCAGCTGACGAGTACTCTGAAACCTTGTAAAGTTTTACAATGTTTGAACTCTAGTGCTCAATTTTCATCCTCAGCACAGTCTAAACGAAAAAAGCGAAGCATCGTATCATACTAACTAGGAGGTTATATATGTACTGCTGTCACCCTTCAGGCTCTCATACAAGTCGGTTTCCTTGAAACAATTTGAGGCTTTGTATTCATTTTTATATTGGAATAACTGTGACCCACCATTGCTCTTAAATATTAGCTTTAACAGTAAATAATCACAACAGTTGTAGACAATTCCTTTAATAATAAAGTACATAAAGTTTTAAGTAAGCTGAGCTAAAATGAATGCCACACTAACTGCGCAGGCTTTGTCGCACAAAGTCTTACTTGGAGGACATAGAAAATAAGGTCATAATAATTAATTTTCAATTTGAAGACTTTTTAATTTGAAGACTGGCACCAAGTGTCTTCCATTTACATTTTAATAGAAGATATCATTTTATTTTCCCCCCGAATTTTACACTACTGTAATAAATTCACCCAGCAGATCCATGGAACATTTGTGCTAGTTTATTTCATTGAACAAATAGTTTCCTAGTCACACAATCATCCAATAAGTAACTTTGTTTAGTACTTTGGAGAATATCACGTACGTGGCTATGGAAGCAGCAGACAATCTGTTCTTGAGCTTTAAAATCTTATTCAGGGCCAACAGCAGTTCTGCCAAGGCAAGGCAGTTGTGATAAAGCTTATTTGTAATGCCTATTATCCTCACGTCCACATTTTGTCCCTGAATTGCGCTCTTTTTATACCACTGAATCTCTTGGATCATGATAACCTCTGAGTAATTATTACGTCATAAGTCATATCTTGCAATGATTACGCGGTTCCGAACTGGAAATATAAATATAAGAAAATGAAAAGATTTCACTGTAATTAAAGTAACTCTATTCTTTTTCCGTTCTGCGAACTGAATTATTAAAAAAATTTAGTTTAACAATCAAATAAAGGCTGCTCAACTAATACTGCTGCATATATGTACTAACCGGAACATATTATATTGATTTTTAATTAAAATTTAATCAATTCAAGATCTTGCCTTTTATGTTCGTTTATTTATTCCACTAAAAGAACGAAAAAAAAATTAATGTAGAGACCTAAGTTTTCATTGCCAGCCTCAGAGGTTCATGCTCCCTCTGCGCCATCTTCAACCGCAAAGAAAATAACTTCTTTCTCCGCCAGGAAGCGATTACCGCTGCGAAACTTTCGCGTAGCCACGAGCCGCTTTCATGCCACATGGCATATGCGGTCTACGCCACATGCCATGTGTTGTACGTTAAATTACAGGGTCTAATGAACTTTAACTGACATGCGCTATACATCAAATGGCATGCAATGTTTGTCAGATGGCTTGTTATGCGTCACATCAAATGCGGGCGTATTATATAGAATATGGTTTACTATGCCTGTGATTCGTCACACTATGTAGGTTTCATGTCGCACAACTTACATCAAATGGCACACGATGTTCTCCTCATGCCTGATTGTGATCTTGGTATGTATGACCACCCCATGTCTCGCTGAAATATTTATTTTGGAACTCACATTTACGCTACACAAGGAGCATGCATGAATTCTTCCTACAAAAAGTACTATAATACTTCGCTTGACGCTTAATTTATTTAGGTTTCTTCGGACTGGCTTTCCTAAAATTCGTACGACCGTCTAACTCCGTCGTATAGCTGAAAATTCGGGATAAATTCTGTAAATTCTGAAGCATAAATGGTGATATGCAAATATGCACATTCTGAAGCATAAAGCGTGACCAGTTCTGGTGCCGGATTTTCCATGAATTTTTACGACTGAAGTAGTCGTATATAATTGTTTGGCGATAAAAACTTAAAAGTCCTTATTTCTCGAATAACAGAAAGAAATTATATGGTGTCAAGAACTTGGTTAGTCGAAATTGCTTAGAAGAATATTAGGACTCAAATGGTTCTATAAAGAATTGAACAATCGAAAAGCTTGATTCTTGTAAGGACTTGAATATGATCATAAATTTACGTTCCTCTCGGGAAACTAGTTAGCTAGGTCTTACTTTGTCGAGAATGAATTTACTATTCTGCCGAATATCACAGAATTTACTATTCTGTGATACATTATAATTTGTCACTCGCACTGTGCATTTTTCATGAAGATTTTGGAGAATGAAACTATATAACGGTCGTAAATTGTAATACAATCATTTTTGTTCCATGCACTCTATTTTCGTGGTTTGTCTAAATTAAAAACGTACGATATAACTTTAGACCTATGACAACGCTCGGATTTTACAGCATCCTGCCTCTTATCTGTCACCTTGCTCGGTGGCAGAGCCTGTATAACGGCAAAGGTCAGGAGGGGGCGCGCGTGTCGCACATGTATGCATAACTTGCAACATTAAAGACACGAGCGAATGTGTGCATGACAACTCAAATTTTCACACCAAGGCATCCGCTCAGGCTATTTTGAGTTCAAAAGCATCATTATTCAGGCGAAAACATGAATGTCAACATTGTTCTTGGCCCTGCCGTGGCGACGCAATTAATTAAGCGATCGAGTCCAGTTTTTGCAGTGAAAGTTTTTTTTGTATTTTGAATACACTGTTCGTGACATTTCTCCTTATCAAAATGTCTTCATTTCTCCTCTGAAGCTATTTACGGCAACATGCTGTTTATTTCATTAAAATACTCATGAATGCGCATATACTCGCTTGAGTTATCCGGTAATCGAAAGATCATTTACACCTTAAATTTATGACAGAACAAGCTATTAGAAACGTAAACCGCCATTGCGATACTCTACGCCATCAATGAAGCCAGTAAACCTCGTACATTTAATTACAGAACTATACAAATACATTTTATGTTGTTTCTACTGTAAAACAAAGCAATCTCAAACAATTGAAGCAGGAATTCAAAGCCCCCTACTTGACGGACTGCTTTTTACAAGCCTGATTGATGCGGACGTGTCGAAGAAACGCTCCGTGTAGCCATACATCTTGCTTACTCTTCAACGTTGCGCGTTTGCACATCAACGCTAGCTCAGCTGCTTGCATGCACCACTGCACGGATTGCACTACAGCACCAGCACTGCTGTTAGACTGCATCGTTAACACAGCAACACTGTAACTCTGCAGCTAGCATTCACCACTGCACCGTTAATACAGCAACACTGTAACCCTGCTGTTAGCATGCATCACTGCACCGTTACCACAATGTAACATCGTAGCCCTGCTGCTAGCATGCACCACTGCACCGTTAACACAGCAACACTGTAACTCTGCTGCTAGCATGCACCACTGCACCGTTAACACAGCAACACTGTATGCTAGCATGCACCACTGCACCGTTAATACAGCGACACTGTAACCCTGCCGCTAGCATGCACCACTGCACCGTTAATACAGCAACACTGCATGTAACCCTGCCGCTAGCATGCACCACTGCACCGTTAATACGGCAACACTGTAACCTTGCCGCTAGCATGCACCAGTGCACCGTTAACACAATGTAACACTGTAACTCTGCAGCTAGCATTCACCACTGCACCGTCACCACAATGTAACATCGTAGCCCTGCCGCTAGCATGCACCACTGCACCGTTAATACAGCAACACTGCATGTAACCCTGCCGCTAGCATGCACCACTGCACCGTTAATACAGCATCACTGTAACTCTGCCGCTAGCATGCATCACTGCGCCGTTAACAAAGTACAACATAAGGCATCCTGTTATTCGTTCCTCGTTCCTGCCAGGCAGCCTTGCTTCTAAAGAGCACTCAGTTGCACCCGTAAGCCGGAAACTTTTTTCATGTCAATGAGTTTTCTCCAGGCATTTCCCGACTAGCCTCAGCATAATTATTATTAAACCTTTCTTTACTTAACCTTATTATTATTAACCTTACCTTATGCATTTTATGAACGTTAATCTGTACAGTATCATATAGCTGACTGATGCAGAGTAATTATTGATAAACTTTGTGGGCTGATCTCCTTTTCCGGGCACCTTAAATTCTCTTCGTTAACTGGCTTATTTAAAAAATAAACTTTCACGTTTATAGTAAATTTTTTGTTTCAATTTGCTTTAACCAAAGTATCAATTGCCTTTTCATTCAGTTTTCATTAATCGTCGTATTAATGACATCCGAGGGCTGCTAAATCGACTATGCTGTAACCCCCATGTTCTAAAATGCCTGTTCTTTTTTATAAATTACATTTTCTTTTGTTCTAAAATAATCGTACTTTTCAGGAACGCGTGGTGGTGAAGTGTGACACTCAAGGACTACGTTATTTCTGAGGGTGCGGCCTCGCTTCTCTCTATGTAATTGTAGGTGGCACATATCGATGGCTAATCGTCAGTGGCACATCGATGGCTATGCTTCGGTGACACATCGATGGCTAGTCGTCGGCCGACCAGCCCATCATGTTCTTCTACATCCATTTGAGATGCCTCACCTCATCCGTGAGGCTCAAAACTTAACCAAAGTTCGAGTTCCACCTTTTGCGACTCGAGGAAAAGTCGCATTGATGCCCTCCCATAGGACGCTATGCCAAGTATCTGATGCATGATGAGCTATTAATTTCTGTCAAAAAAGAGACCTTTACATCTTTGAATAATTTTGATCTTTGGCGAAGGCGAAGATAGCAAGAAATGGATCTACTGTAAACCGTTGATGTGAAACCACAATTCGTAATATCAAAATATACTGAGTCGTGAGCTTTCAAATTTTCCTCAATTCAAGATACTTCAAAAAATTCAAACAAATTTCCAATTCTGAATGAATTTAATGTAAAATAATCGACTATTATAAAAAATATATAAAATAGCAATACGATGATTAATTATAATCAACGTATAGCTAGTTATATTAAAAAGGATAAACACTCACTCAAACCATCTAAGTACTTCTTTTTGACTTCTTATCACAAGTGTGATAATTGGCGTTAATTACGGCTATAATTATGATGGTAATTACGGCGATAATTACTCTCGATTGTGATCGTAATTTTCTTGTTATGATTACGGTATGTTATGTGATTTCCAGTTACGCTTGAAATTCTGAATCCTCGGCAATGACGTCCTACTGAGGTTGTCGCTCTCTGATGTGACGGTCATTTTGCAAAAGCTGGCGCTTTGAGCGGTTCTTGAATTTTTTTTATGGTATCAAGTGTAAAAACGCGACGTAAAACATCACTGTTTGTTGTGCGAATACTTTGCTGTAGTAAACGCATTTTTCTTGTCAAACAAACAAGAAAACAAAATAGTAATTTCAGAAAACTTTTGATTTTTCACATGAGAGTATTATTTTACAAAATAATCTCCGATCAGTCGAACCCAGCCAGAGAATCTTGACATTTTAGTACTTCCTTCACATTACAAACATTACGATTTTACGCTGTTACCAAGGATATTTTTATATATTAAGAGCAAAACCTCACAAAAAATAATTTGTCATAATAAAGAATTATTAATTTTTCTGTTGCATGACCTTCCTCATTACAATCTTATTGCACCTTGAGCAATAGCTCGCTCCGCTTACCCCAGTCCTACACACAATAACTTCTAAGTGTGATGGATAGATGACGTTATCATTAGTGCCTGCACTTATGCCTTAATACTTCATTTTATGCAACAAATCTCTCTCCATGCATTTCTCTGAGTGTCAATTCGTGTATATTAATCGTCAACAAATCTCACAATTATGAGCTCTTAGCACATGTTTCAGGAATGAATATATTTTCTATATATATTTGGTGAGTTTACTTGACCTGGTGACGTTCTGAGATATTGTACGACAGCAATGCAGTTTCATGCTATCCATTTCGGCACAATGAACATCATTCTGCGTTTCTCCAATTCTTGCATCCATGAAAATGCGAGATCCATGAAGACCCACTTGAAATAATCAATGATATGAACCTACAAGCACATAACTGCTACCCCTTACATCCTAAGGCCTTTTAATTAATTAAAAGCTATATATCTAGGCCTCAATTATATGCTCCGTTGTTGAAAAATGGAAAATTAACAAAGATTCTACACATTGTTTTTATTCTTAACAGGGAAAAATAACAGCAAATTATTCCTGCTAAAGCGATTTAGTAACTCATGGCCAAACGGACGCCTGCATGTCGGAGTCGGAGACAACTACGGCCGCGGTCCAAACGGACCAGCATGAGCACTTCTGCACTATCATATTGTCAACGTTCAAAATAAAGTTCTTAACGTCTTTCAATTTCAAATAAGATTTCACTAAATCCTTTGTACAGAAAAGTATCTATTGCTTGCCGTTTTGTATATATTTGAAAATTTCTTTTCTTCAATACCGATTGAGGTTTTAGATTTTATGTTCTTGTTATTATTGAAATAATTTTTAACCTACCAACGCATCAACTTATTCATGAAAATCTAGATGCACATCACAAAATGATTTTGATTTCTCACCACACATGATTTTGATGAAAATCATGATTTTTCACACATCACATGATTTTCATTTCACCCACCACATGATTTTTGATTTATATTCACACCATTACAGGAAGACACAGCGACATAAACACACGACCGATCCTGTTTTCCAGCAGTGGTCAGCAGTTCTTTTTGTCAAGGAGGAACATTGTTTCGAAATCGAACATTATCGTTCATTTACAGCACAACAAAAGAATCTTGTAAAGCTTTATAGAGCAAAAATATAAGTACAAAGTTTATTATAATCAACAGAAAATTATCGATTGCTCTAATAAAAAAGTAATTTAGCATAAATTGACAAGAGATCGATGTCACATAAAACACCACTGGCAACAGCACTTCATACCTGCGACCAACCAACAACGATTGGCAGCAATGAATACCTCCTTAAATACAAGTCTTTTTAGCGGTTGATTACAAATTATATCGATTCAATCATGACCGAACAATTTTTGTCGTTGAGTTTATCATATGAACCCTAAATTTATTTATTAATTGAGGCTTACGGTTTTAGATAAACTTGATGCTAGGTTATCATTTGTTGCCGTTCCGTTCGGTCCTCTAGGCACAACGCACTAGCTCTTTGCGTTGTATTATTTACCCAACAATACTCCTTTACCATATTCTATAGATTTTCATCAAACTATATTGGTATTATTGCAGATTAACTACATCCAAAAAAAAGGGTGTTTTTTTTTTAATTATATGTTTTTTGAGGTGTAGATTACGAATCTGATATCCATTTTTGGCGGACGGCATCGGAAAACCGATTTTTTGCAATAATACCGATCACACGTAGCGCACGACATCTTGAATGAAACTTACCCGTTGCACTGCAACGGGTAACATTTTCGTCTTCTTTGTCCATAAATCTGGAGATACATTGCCACATCGAGAGATCACAACCTAACGCCAACTCGCAGGTTGGGTTGGTTCGCCCAGGTTCCTTTTAGATCAAAATGCTATCTAAAAAAAGGAACTTGGCTGACTTAACCCAACCTAAGAGCTTTTTGTAAAATTTCGATGAACAATCCGACCCTTTATATAAAGGTGAGTGGGTAACGTAAGTTACGTAACCCCCATGTTAGTAAATAAAGGTGAGTGGGTAACGTAAGTTACGTAACCCCCATGTTAGTAAGTCGCGAAAAAAATCGGTTTTCCGATGCCGACCGCCAAAAATGGATTTCAGATTCGTAATCTACACCCCAAAAAACATATAATTAAAAAAAAAACACCCTTTTTTTTTGGATGTAGTTAATCTGCAATAATACCACTATATTGCTTAATTATCAATATATCATATATTTCAAATTTTATTCAAGATCTGTGTTCTAAATTGATCTAACATTCGGTACTTGGAAAGTTGATGCTTCTATGATTTTATCAAACACCAATCACTCGTATAGCTGAGCTTTCCCTGGAATAGTTTTTTGTGTTGAATGGAAGAAATATAAATGGGATAACTACTGTATTTTCTAATGATGAGTGCTTGCAATAACGGCTGGTTTTTCACCTCATGGCATGAATACATAGTTATTTTATTGTATAAAAAACCCATTTTTCTGAAAAATTAGATACGTACACGACTTTGCACTAATTTTATTTCTGTCATGATGCAACACAACACAAAAAAATTGTTGGCTTGAAACTCTGAATGGTTTCTAATTTCCACTTAATTAGAGTTAAATTAACAAAACAAATTAAATTAATTGCTCGAAAGTAGCAGCAGATTGTGATGAATTGTCATTATACCATTGGAGTTTGAATATTTATCTTAGAGAACCAATGAAATGAATTTTAAAGAATCATCCATCGTCTGAGACTGGAAAGTCGGTCTTGCGCTATCGGTGGACCGAAGTTATGAGGCGCTGTTGACACTGCGAGCTCTGTTCTGACTGATGCTTTCCTCTCAAGCTTCCAAAATATTTTTTTTACTCCTCCGAACGACGACGACGACGACGTTTCGACGAATTCATCAACAATATTCCTTTTTCAAGTCTAACAAACAACTATTTAATGATGAAATTTTATCTTTTTCAGTATTTTCGTTTTAATTCACGACACATTATATTATACGAAGATTATAAATAGTTTCTATATCCTCCGTTTTTGCAGGATCAGCTGTTAACAGAGAAAGATTATATTAATATTGTTGTCAATCATTATTATTAAAATAGAAACATTATATATTTTGTTGACAATTAAATTTTATAATGTGAAATTTTTTTAAATAGACATTATTAAAAATGTAAAAGTTTTTTTGCCATAAAATCGATCCCTTGAAGCCATTTCTGTGTCATAATAACGGGAGGTTTGTTTACTTTAGGTGTTCCAGCCACACGCTGCCTGCTCTGCAAACTCATATGTTCTGATTCTACTAATTAATGTATTCCCTTCTTCATGCATCGATGTTGTCTTTTTTGTGTGTAATGTATAGATCCCTTCTTTATGTATCGATCCCTTCTTTATGCGTCCATCTTGTCTTTGTGTAATGTATTGATCCCTTCTTTATGCAACGATCCTGTATTTGTGCAATGTGTATCGCGCGATCCCTTCTTACTTGACTCAATAACAACGAAGCTTTTCGTTGTATCACCAACAGCAACGATTATAGTGAGGTAAGTGAGGTACCCATTTATAATGGGTATAGTCTGTAAGGCTGTTTCTATTGACTAAATATTTATTAACTATGCGAAATATTATTATTAACCAGATGCGTTTTGTTGATATCTGAGAATGTATGGATGTGTTCCTGAGCTCAGTGTTCTACTCATCTCAATCAGGTCTGACACCGCTAATCTATTCAATTGTATGATCAGAATTTATACAAATAATAAGGTGTTCCTTAGTTGGCAATGCTTTCCTTAATTGGCAATGTGTTCCTTAATTGGCAATGCGTTCCTTAATTGGCAATGTGTTCCTTAATTGGCAATGTGTTCCTTAATTGGCAATGCGTTCCTTAATTGACCATATGTTCCTTAATTACTCCGATGCGTTGCTGTATGTATGTATATACGTGAGCTTGACGCCGAAGTTTCAGGACTAAAAGTTAAATTGTTCGCCTCGGTCAGCTCTTGAATTTCGTCAACCGATTTAGCGTTGTTGATAAATACGAAAATGTTTTTTACAATATTCAACTAATTTTGTACATTGGTTGCACGTTTATGGCAAAAACTTTATACCAGAGATAGAATAGAATTGAACTGAATAGAAGTGTTGGCACTGAAGAAATAGACCCATTGCCTGATTTTTTTTATTTTTCGTGAC